GAACAGAACAGAATAGAATAAGAGTATAGAATGGAATGGAATGGAATAGAATAGAATAGAGTATAAAATAGAATAGAGTATAGAATAGAATAGAGTATGGAATGGAACGGAACGGAATAGAATAGAATAGAATAGAATAGAATATAGAATAGAGTATAGAATGGAATGGAATGGGAACGGAACAGAACAGAACAGAACAGAATAGAATAGAATAGAATAGAATAGAATAGAATAGAATAGAATAGAATAAGAGTATAGAATAGAGTATAGAATGGAATGGAATAGAATTAGAATAGAATAGAATAGAATAGAATAGAATAGAATAGAATAGAATAGAATAGAATAGAATAGAATAGAGTATAGAATAGAATAGTGTATAGAATGGAATGGAATGGAATGGAATAGAATAGAATAGAATAGAATAGAATAGAATAGACCTGGAATGGACTTTGGAGGTCTTCTAGTCCAGCCCCCTGCTCAAGCAGGAAAATCTATGCCATATTAGATAAGTGACTGTCCAGTTTCTTCTTAAAAACTTCCAGTGATGGAGTGCCCATGATTTCTGCAGCCAAGCTGTTCCACTGGTTAATTGTCCTCATAGTTAGGAAGTTTCTCCTTAATTCCAGATCGCTTCTCTCTCTGATCAGTTTCCAACCACTGTTTCTTGACCTGCCCCCTGGTGCTTTGGAGAATCATGTCTCAGATTCACATACCAACACCATTCCTGTTATGCTCATCTGTCTCCTTCATGCATAATTATTTCAACAATGATTGAAATGAGTAAAAATATTTCAGAGGATTGAAATCTTAAAAAATGGCTTTAATCCCAGCCTCAATGGAAGTTGAGGGGTCCCTTGGTGCTCTCTGAGCTGGCTTGTTCTCTTGCAGACATTCCATTACCCATTAGTGCTACTCCTGATGACGGTACCTAGCTTGGGTAATGAAACGTCTACCAGAAAGCTCAGAGAGCACCAAGTGGCCCCTCATGTCAACCCTGAGCTACAAGTATTCTCCTTTATCCTTGGAAGCGATTATCATAAAGATATTTTATGAGCGGTTTTGAACCGGAAAGCACCTGGACCAACTATGAGTGTGGATGCCAGGGGCAGCTCATCTCTTACCTTCTCCATGATCCTGTCCATTTGGCGGTTCTGTGTATCAATCTCATTGCCCATATCTAGAGCCATGTGACGGAGGTTTCCAATGATGCCGCTGACCTGTTCCAGGTTTTCATCCATCTCACCTTCTCGAGCATCATTTGTTACCCTGTGGAAGGATGAGAATTAAAACTGGACGGAACCTTATCCAAAAGGGAAGCTTCTTTAGCAATGCAAAGGAATGCTATTTGCTGGCCATATCTAAGATTATTCTGTCTAAAGACAAACGCTGAGCAAAATAAAGGGTTATAGGATATAATCTCCACAAGTTGAATCTTGTGTCAGAATACTGCTCTCTATGCATAGACATGTCTTTTAGGCTAATTCTAGAAGAAGAACCAGCAGCATGTCAGAACACAATCAGTGGGAATACTCAGGCACACTTTCACTCCTTTCTGCACATATTTAGTGAACATTATCAAAGCAGCCTACATATTGGTTCATTCTAGAGGGTGTTTTTTTTTTTAACAACTTGATGTTATTAGCAAATGAAGTGACATTACACGCAGAGAGTTTCCTGGTGCCTCAAAGGATTTTTCTTCTTCTGAAGGAAAAGATGATGGATCTGGATAAAACCACCATCAAGCCATATGTTCTACTCAATGCCAGAATCCTAATTAAAGCATCTGAACAGATGGCTGGCCTAGCCTTTGCTTGAACACATCCACTGAGGGGAAGATATTCAGCTGGGGAAACGGTTCTACTGCCAACCTACTTTTACTGTTAGGAAGTTTTTATCTAATAGCGCACCAGAATTTGCTTTCTTGTAATGTAAATCCATTATTTTATATTCTGTACCCCTGAAAGAATACAGAATAATAGTTCCTGACTTTCTTCTGGGCAACATTTTCTCCAAACTTGGGAGGATGCTATTTTATTCATCTTTTCCTTGTCCCTTCTATATATTCTTCAAAGAACTTAGATTCTAATTTCCAATAATCTTCATTTATCTATCTTCATGATCTCCATCTTTCTCCCTCTCTCCCTCTCTCCCTCCTCCCGTCTCTCATCTATCACTTATCTATCCTCTTTTATTTTTACAAATAACTCAAAGCAGCAAACATACCCAATACTCTTTCCTCCTATTGTCCCCCTAAACAACAACCCTGTAAGGTAAGTTGGACTAAAAGAGTGTGACAGGCCCAAAGTCACCCAGTCACCTTTCATGCCTATGTCTGGACTATAACTCAGTTTCCTGGTTTGAAGTCTGATGCCTTAACCACTAGACTAGCCCTATTTCTTTATTTTAATATTAGCTCTTTGTCTTTTCTCAACCCTTTTCAGTTTATCTGAAATCCAGAACTAGATGCAATAGTTGGAATGGGATCTGACTACCACAGTAGAAAACGGAATTTTACTTTCCATTATTTGGAAGTGGTACTTCAGTTGATGTTCAGAAGTTTAAAACTGCATTTACCCTTTTTTTCTAACTACACTGCATTCCCGCTTCCTGCTTAGATGTTTCACAATTTTGCCCCCAATAGAATGATTTCCGCTTGATTAAGAATGTTAGCATTTGCCCTTGTTAAACTCTGTTCTGTTATTACCACGTATTTCCCTGTCTTATGAACAAGGTTTTGCACTTGCAGCTTCTGGGACCATTTGCTATCTCATTCAGTTTTTTGGTCATTTGTAAATTTGATAATTTCTTTCTCACTCAAGTCATTCATAAAAATAATGAAGAGAATAGGACCTTCCAATGTGCCTGTTGGCAGTTCATTTGATTTTCATTTGATGTATTTATTTCTCATGTGATCCAGCTCATAATTAACTAGCTTGTGACTGAGAATATCAGAGTGGACTTCGTGAAATGTTTTGGTACAATGCTCCAGTAATATATTAAGGAAGGTACCTGATTCCAAAGAGTAAGAAAAAGTGAATATCCATTCTAGTATTCATTATATTGTTTTCAAGATGTTTACAAATCTACCTCTTTATGATTTGCTAGGCAGTTTCCTCAAAGTATTTGCTGGACTGAGAGCTCTGGAGTTTCTCCAAACCGCTCTTTCCCCACCTTTTGGAGATTGGGGCATTATCTGTTTTCTTCCAGCAGTTTCCCAGTTCTCCAGAATTTTCCAGAGATAATATAAAGAGGCTCAACATGAACACTGATGTTTTTTCCCTCCACTTCCCTAGAATGCAATTTATACAGCCCTAGAGATTTATATGAATAACCGTTCCTTAGCAACTTCTACTATCCTGTGATAAGATTTACAGATTTTTACAGATTAACAGAGTTGGAAGGGACCTTGTAGGTCATCTAGTCCAACCCCCTGCCCAAAATAAGATGAGCAGACAATACATTTCATAACTAAATAAATCAATACATTTACTAATAGTATTCCCACTATTGAGGTAAAGTGCCATCCATCACCCTTGAGCTGGCACCAAACAATGCCAGGATAACACGTACTCTTCCCATCAACATTCCCTAACCTACGTCGGGCATGTCAAATTTTTCAACTTTCAAATTCCAAACATTAGGGGTGCTCAAAAGTTGTGACATGCCTTGGGGATTGTAAAAATATTTTGGTTATTTTAATATAATTTAGATGTGCTGGGTCAGTAAGTACATAAATTTCATAACTTTTTAATATTTTGTTTGTTTCATCAGTTACATCTGTTTGAGTCAGTGCAAAAGATGTTGCCATGGTTTGCACACATTACACACAAAACAATTAGCTTTCTGGTTTTGTTGCCACCATTGGTCTTCATTGTGACCCCAACAAAAAGAGATAACAGTAGGGAAGGCTGACTTTCGCATTTTACCTGGGGTGGAGGTTTCAAGGTTTGCTTGTTTGCTCCACTTTTTATAACCCGGACAAATGCCAAATTGAAATAATGTGAAATAGAAACTTGGAAAGGTAACAGGTATGGGAGGAATTTGTTTCCTGCGTGATCATTTATTTTATTTATTAAACTGATATATTGCTCATCTTGCCAAAGGCAATTCTAGGAGACTTACAATCAATTATTTTTTTAAAAAAAAAAACAACTCAGAAAATTAAGTGCAAATGGAGGAGGCCAATATTGGAGACAAACAGCTGGCTAGTGGCAAAGGCCGACCAAAGACCAGAAGGGAAGAGCGGTTGCCCGTGACTACAGAACATGATACTGGTCATGCCTGCCAGAGGTTATCTGCCTTTGCCTTTAAGCTAATGTGTGACAAAGGCTGATTTTACACAATTTGACAATCTAGGATAGTGTTGTCTTAGGAGGGAAAATACCATTTGTGCCCTTAGAAATGGCTTAAGAATGTTTGTTCCGTGAGGTAAGGATGAGTTACTCTTGTCTGGATGCATAATCTAACCATTCCAGGGAGAAGACTGGAATGATTGGCATATGATGGTGTTATGATTAACTGCAAGTGGAGCCAGGCAGGGCCCCCATGTTTTCACGGGTATCAAACTTCAGTCCTTTCCCTTCATCCTGCGTTGGCAATTGCTTGATCGAAGACTTCTCTCTAGTTGAAGGGGACTATGCCAGAATAGGGACTGAGTATCTCTTCTTTTTTGGTCATTTCTTAGCATTATTATCTATTAGAAAAGATGGAGGGACTTTTGTGTGCCTTGCCATTCTCATCCCTACTAAATCTCTTGGTTCGAGGGATACACTGCTAAAAAGTTTCTAGCTTTCAAATATCTACCCGTTCAGGTAAGGGGTGGTGATGGGGAGTCTCCCAGTTGATGCTAATGTTTAGATTCCCACCTAAATACTCAAGAGAATGTCAGTGGAAATGTCTGGTATAGCTTGACTAATGTTTTTTTTTGGTTGTACAAACTAGGAATAAACAACACTAACACTCTCAATAGGACCATCTGGAGACACTTCTTCAGTATGCCAGTAACAGGAAAGAAGGAAGGAAAGGAAAACTGCATTTTTAAAAGGGGGGGAAATAAGAAGGAAGAATAAAATCTTCAAAATCTTCACCTGCGGATAAATCCACCACTGATGGCCATCTGTTCTCGTTCATCCACAACCCGGGCAGGCTGGCTGGCTACAACTCCATCTTGATTGTTGCCCCAGGCTTTTTTGTAAGCATCACTTGATTTAAGCCTATGCAAAAACAGGAGGTGAGTAACAAGGCAGCAAGAGAGGGGAGAGCCAACCGCAAAACATCTTCTCATTACTTGTTTCAAGCTAAGAGCCGAGTCAAGCAAATGGATTGTTTTTGATAAAGGGGACATTCTGGTATACCGATATATCATAAAGTGGAAGAAAAGCATTTCCTTTCTTTTTATTTGTTGCCACAACTCTGGCACTTGCAAATTTCATTTCCAATAGTGTCAATCATCATGGCCAAGTTGGTGGCTTTTGGAGGGTAGACTTGCTTGATTTACACAAGAATAAACAAACACAACTAGGAAACGTTCAGCTGTTTTTCATGGACACATGTATATTTGGACACCAAACGCAGGGACTGCACTTCTAGACAGACATGAAAACAGAACTGCAAAGGGAAGTGTGTACATCACATCACAGCGAGACATCATCTAAGATTTTAAAAAAGACCAAGATGAAACAAAAACAGACTTAGCCTCCTTTTAAGCAAGGCTCCTTTCTTGATCATGTGGCACAATTTTTTTTTACATCCAACAATTTCTCCAATGGGATACTAGAAGAATGGAGATTCACAGAGGCTTCTATGCCATAAGGTGTGATGGGGCAATTTGGTAAGACATTTTAATAATATATCGGTACTTGGAGAGAGTAACTATAGATCTAGAGTTGATGTACAAACCTTTATCCACAGAGACAGAAAGTAAAATCAGGCTATATTGGATGAATGCAGGGAAATAAAGAAAGAATGCAAGCATGTATAGCGGTTGAGCCTCAGAAAGGGAAATTCCTCTATGTATTTATATATAGAGAGAGAGATTTCATGCACCAGGTTCAGGCATGAATAAGAAGTGAGAAGCATTTTCAAGAAAGCACAGTTGCCTCCATGGTCCAACATTCTCTTAATACACTAGCAGTTATACAGTCTACATAGCAAGTGGGATGCAGGCAAAAATGGGTCTTCTGTTATGGTGAGAATCTAAAACATTAGGTCATATACAGTATCATTTGAGTTAAATATGCAGGTTTTTTCAGAGGAACCATCTTTGACTGAGTCTCCACAGGGTAATTAAAATCCAGGCATACCAGCGATAACAAGCAATACAGTATTAATGTGTGCAGCATTCTTGTATATTTTAAAGGTAGAAGTGTTGGAGATTACAAATTGAAATTACTGTCAAACGTGGAAGGTTGTTAGAGCCACCTAAACAGCATCGGTTTCAGCTAAGCATGTTCCTTTAAGTTTGCACATGAAAACAAGCTCTCCTCCAAAACAGAAAATGTCCAGTAATGTTAATAAACATCTAATATATGCCCAAACTGGCGCTATTTAAAAGCTTTCTAAGGACAGTGAACACATCTGTTCAAACATTCCTTTGGCTTCTTATTTCAAGCAGGGCTAGTTGCTAACATGTTTCACAGCCTAGATGTTGCTTTGTAATCATTGTTTTTGGTCAGAAGTCAATTGACTTCCTTTTGAACAAGTACATGAGTAGAATTACATTGCAGAGCTCCAATCCTATGCATGTCCTCTTGCTGGTAAACCTAACAAGGTGTGCTCCAAAGAACATGCATGCAAAAATAATAAAAAAAAACCCTGCCTTTAAAGTGCTACAATAGTTTTTGATTTTAATGTGTAAGATCAGGCTGTTAAATTGGATTAAACCGAGCATAAAAGTGGAATGCTATTTGGAAAAAATTAGGTATGCGCTTTGCACAGTAATAACTGGAACATTTGTTTCAAATTGGGCATGAACAGTATGTCATGAGCCACAATGGCGCTGTGGTTAAAGTGCAGTCCTGCAGGCTACTTCTGCTGACTGCCAGCTGCGGGCAATTTGGCAGTTCAAATCTCACCAGGCTCAAGGTTGACTCAGCCTTCCATCCTTCCGAGGTGGGTAAAAGGTGGATCCAGATTGGGGGCAATATGCTGGCTCTGTAAACCGCTTAGAGAGGGTTGGAAAGCACTGTAAAGCGGTATCTAAGCCTAAGTGCTATTGCTATTCTCCAGAAATGGTTGGGCTGCAAACCCAACCCAATGATAAGTAGCTGATAGAAGGTGGCATTCAGGCATTGCTAGCTAGAAGGCCACACATTTGCCCACCTCGGCTTGAGTTGCTGATTCACTACATCTTTTCTCTTTATATCACCATTTGACTAGCCAATTTGGTCTGGTATTCTGTGACCCATTCGGGGTTCTTGTTTCTCAATAAGTGTAGGTTGCTCTGCAATTTGTATCTTGAAAACAGTATATAGGCTTAACGGGAGCCAGTATGGTGAAGTGGTTAAGGCAACAGGCTAGAAACTGGAAGACTGTAAGTTTCAGTTCCAGTTCCACTTTGGGCACAAAGCCAGCTGGGTGATCTTAAAGCCTGGCCCTTTTTCTCAGCCCTAGGAAAGGCGGCTATCGCAAATCATTTCTGGGGGGGGAAATGCCAAGAAAATTGCTGAGGGACTTCTCCAGGCAGTTCTTGAGAGCCAGATATGATAGAATGGAACGGGGAAAAAAAAAAAGACTTACTAGTTATCATGTTCAGCAGTATTGTTTGTCTTTTTAGAATTTTCTGAGAATTCTTGCTACTCCCATTCACATCATTGCCTTTCAATGAGACAATTGAGCTCCGAAGTTCCACTACAACCTTACTTGCAGGGGTGGGATTCAATTTTTCTAACAACCAGTTCTGTGGGTGTGGCTTGGCTGGTAGGCATGGCTTGGTGGTCATGTGACTGCCTGGGCGTGGCCAATTCAACGTCACTCACATCGAGGCACGCATCTCCTTGCCTGGCCTCTCATGACTGTGGGGATACTGCAACAGTCATAAGTGTGAAAAATGGTTATAAGTCACTTTTTTCAGTGCCATTGTAACTTGAATGGTCACTCCACACAAGCAAAGTACCAGCAAAGGAGGGGAAAAAAACTGCAGAGATGTTCCTGAGACAGGAAGTCTAGTCCTGCCAAGAATGTAATAAGGGTTAACGGAGAGGCAGTTTCAGTAAGCAACACCAGAATGTTTCCTTCCTGCCTTCCTTACAGGATTAGGCCAGTCATTTCTTCTAACAACCGGTTCTCCAAACTGCTTAGAATGTTAACAGCCGGTTGTAGCGAATAGGTGCGAACCACCCCTGTTTACTTGGAATGGAATTGGGTGTAAGGGAAGAAGGGATGGCCTTCAAAAATTTTAGCAAAGGGTTCTCTGCCCAGTTGCTGGATGGGTGTGGCCATGGTGGGCATGGCCTAGTCAGCTTTCTGCACCACAGGTGGGGCCCTTTTTGCCCTCCCCGGGCCTTTCCTTGAACCTATGGGAGGGCGAAAACGGCCTCTCTGGGCTCCGGAGGCTCTTTGGAAGATGTAAACAGGCCCATTTCTGGCCTTCCCAAACTTCCGGGAAACTTTTCACCCTCCCCGAGGCTCTGTGTGCGCATCCTGCACTTACCTGCATCCAAAATGGGCCACGTGGGGACTCCTGGGAGGAGAGGGGAGGAGTGGGAGGGGCCAGCCAGGAGCGGGATTCGGGAGTTCTCCAAACTGCACAGAATCTTAGCTAGGGACTCTCCCAAATCCCTTTGAACCCCCAGCAGCCCACCCCTGAAGGGAAGCCAATCCTCAGTGCAGAAAGTTCAAATCAAACTGGCAGCACTGAATCATTGGGTCTGAAAGAGGATATGTGTAGAAAAACTGCACAAGTTTAGACTTCTCACTTTATACTTTCAGACAGCGTTCCTGAACCTTGGGAACTTTTAAGAGGAATGGACTTCAACTCCCAGAATTCTCCAGCCAGTATTGAGAGACACATGCTTTAAGACACCTGTCTGGTTTATAGGGCTTTAAACAGGATTACTTGGGAGGGGTGGATCCCATCTTTCTGGTTAAGTGTAAGAAATATAGCAGCCCCCCAATATTTTTTAGTTTTAAAAAAAATCTTCTCAACCTGTCCACATATCATAAAACAACCTGAATACTGAATGGAACTTAATTATTAGAATTATTACTCATTCCAGATGTCTGAGCAAATAAACCAAGGCTGGATTATAAATCCAAAGCTACAGTACGTTACAAGGCCACATGCAACGGTACATGCTCACATGCAAACAGACATCCACCATTCTAGGCCTGTTTTAATATTTATAAATGCTTTAATCATTCATCCATACAATAATTCACCCCACACTAATTTTTTTTATCTAAGCACACATTCTTTCTTCTCTATGTTCTCCCTTTAAAGCTGATACATCCAATTGGTTACGCTGCCCTTTCATTTCAAGGCAGTAATATGGAAGCAGGTCTAATATATTTCAACATTTTTTCTTGGTGTCACGCTACACAGTGGAGAGCTGCTATGAGCAACATGGATCCAGTTTTGTTTTTTTCCTGACAATATTTTACTTTCCCGTAGCTTGGGATCCAACCAGGAAAACAAGATGTATCTCCAAATCTTTTCCCTTTTGCATTTCATCCAAATAATCATTTTATGTATTTCTGAGCCATGAGTCGTGGTCAAGAAGTACTCCTTTAAAGGCTATTCAGAGGAAGAAAAGATCAGATAGGGTCGTCATAATTTTTGAAATTTAAATTGTTTAATGTACACACTCTAAAATGTTGAAATTGTCATCATTGAAAAGGGCCTACCGTGAAACTTTTACTATGGTATGCCTGATTTTAATGCACCTAATATAATCCTGCTATTGTCTACACCAGGGGTTCCCAATCTGTAAATACACAAGCCACTGTTGAACTCGGAGATGGCAGTAAGTAGTCCACACAAACAAGCTTCTTTTCTTGTCCAGCCGTGGCGCACCACGGAGGGGAAGGGACATGTGAACTGCCACTGTCTCTTCCCTACTGGGACTGATGTGAAGCCATGGGCCACCAGGTCAGCATTCACATTTCCAGGAAATAGATAGCAGTAAGACGTGTCTTGGGAACAAACGGTGAGGCTGCCTTGATTCCCTGGAAGGTGGAAATTTGAAAGCTGATAAGCAGGAGCCGCCGGTAGGAGCCAAAGAGGGATTTTTGGAGACAGGGCCAAAGTGGTTTGTTAGTCAGAAAGCTTGGGAACCTCTGGTCTACGCTATGAGATGAATGCATTGGAACTAGAAGTGTTCTCTCTGCATGCCACATGCTCATCCTGCCCAGGTGCCTTAAGCAAGGATGAGCATCACAAGGCTCTGTTGAGGCCAGCCTTGAATGCTCTAAAAACCAGGCAGGCAGGCAGGCAGGCAGCACCTACTTGTTACATGGACAGGCACAAAGGCCACAGAATTTTCCTAGGTCCGTCAAATTCTTTTCTGCTTCTTTCATGTCCTTATTGATTTGGTCCATCCCCTCTTCGATGCGTTCCAGTTGTTCTGATTAAACACAAGCATTTTATCCCCACAGTATGAAGCAGATGGAAAGGGACAAAGAAAAAAAAAAGACAAAAGAAAAAAAAAACAACTTCAGACATTCACTCATGACAAAGAACCGGACACTACAGAGCAGCGGCTGGCACCAAGTACCTACTTGTTACAAGGACATATGAAAAGGCCACAGCATTTCCCTAAATCTTTTAAATTTTTCTCGGCCTCCTTCATGTCTTGGTTGATATGGTTCATGCCTTCTTCAACACGATCGAGTTGTTCTGGTCAGGACAAAGGGATGACAGTATGGAATGAATTGATTTTTTTTTTTTAAGTTGTAGCTGTTTGTCTTCAACAGAAAATGGGGGAAAATGATGTATGGAGAAATAGAATTAGTATGATGGCATCACAATGCATTAATTGCAGCTGATGCATTGAAGCAAAAATGGAAGCAGCCCTAGAGGCTAAAAAAATTAACCAGTCCCTTTTACTAAGATGGTAAAGCACACATACATCCATATACAAAAAAAAAAAATATATGGATAAGTGCTTGATGTCTGCTAATTAGAACAAAAATGTAAAAACGAAATGGAAGTGCTATCAAATACTTCAGAATCCAGAAACATAATACAATACATCCAGTTACTAAGACACCAATGACATCCAAGAAAAATAAAGAAATGGGATTATTACCTTGTAATACATTTGTGTACATTAATAACAGTTTTACATAATTGCCTTCCATGGACAATATCTACAATACTTCCACTTACAAATGTCTTTGAGTTTGATGATGGTTGAAAATGTAATTGGTTTGCTTGGTGGAAGTGTGTACAGTTAATAATGGTATTTAGAATGGATATGAGTAGCTGAGTTAAGATCCATGTCCAGATACAAACTTTTTTCAAGGACTGAGGCTCTTCAGATCTGAATTTTGGGCCGAGGTCCATCTCTAAAGAAGGGAAGACCATGGGTCTTATTCCTCTGTCAGTGACACTATTATATGCTAGGAGTGACCCCAGTGGAGTAGAAGGAATTACATACAGCGCAGGACACAGTTCCATGTCCAGAGAATCAGATGGATAGACTGCCATACAATTAGGGAGACTCAGAGCAGATGCAATATATAGATAAATAGATGGATAGTTAGATAAAAAATATAATAGGAAACCATCCCCCCCCCCCCCCCCCCAATTGGTGCTTACCTGATCTCCCCATGGATTCCAAGACATTATTAGGTCAATGTAATTCCTTTCACTTTAATGGAGTTACACCTGATTTGCATTAGAACAGAATATAACACAAATATCAAGCCCACTATTTGGGTTTATATGAGAATAATAAGTGACTTTTATAAATGCCACTGAGCCTATGCTGGCTTAGACTTGAATTAGTTACAGATTGCCTTTTAAAAGTGGCTGAGAATCATTGTTCTTATTAAGATATGCTGAATAGCACAAAGTAGACATTTGAGATTGCAGAAACAACCATACAGCTTAATCCAGTCAATATTTAGGTAGAAAAAAAAATGCTCATCATGTTTAGCAGTAATTATTTCCGGCAAAGTACACAGAATTGTGAACCTGCAAGAAACCTCCTTCTGAACCTCAATTATTTTCCACTATCATAAACATGTTCATTTCAATAGTATGTCACATTGGTTCCCACCCTTCACCCTAAGGAAACAAAATAATGAAGAAACACTTTAATTTTTTTAAAAAGGGGGGGTGGGGAATAATTCCATTTAATGCAAGGAAAAGAAGAAGAAATATTAGCAACAAGAAGGAGGTTTTATTTCTATTTTCTGCACAGGAACCAATAGGTTCGTGTTCTTATGGCTAAATAACAAGAAGGGGGCAGGTGGGTGGGTGGAAACAATACAACTTGTAGTCATTAAATCAAAAACCAGCCTTTTGAAATCACAAAATAGGTTTAGAGAGAAAAAGTATTGAGGTTCCAGAGGTTTTTTTTTCTTTTTTTAATTTCTCCAATTTCTATATGGAAGGTAAGAGATAAGGTAAGAGATAAGAAAAAGCTGAAGATAAAGAAGGAGCTACCCATACATCCTAATCCATCCTGAAAGAGCAGCGTGAGTTACAAGGGTGCTTGAGATGACTGCTAGGTGATGGTGTGGATTTTCCAGGATTTTTAAAAGCAAAATTACTTCAAAAAAGAAAAAGAAAAATCTGCAGACTTCTAACTCTGTGTATTTGATATGGCTTTTTATGTAAATGGCAAGTGTACATTTAGTAAACATGATTACAGAAAGTTAATGCAGACATAAAAGGATGATGTCAGCTAGGATGACATTCGGTTGGCTTTAGAATAGCAGCTGCAGTTTATATTTCAGTTGAAGGATAATTGCTAGGAAACGAAAGGCTATAAGGAGCAAATGTCTGATGCAACGGACAATTTAATTTCTACATAGAAACCCCTGTGGTTCACACATACCTGGAAAATACACACATTTTAAGGATAACCTCCTGGGGCTTAAATATTAAAATAGCAGCCATGCAATTCAGTGTGTCACTGAATTTCAGCAGCACTGCTGGACAAAAAATACAGTGTAAGGCCCATAGGTTGTCCACCAAAGAAAATTATTGATATTTTAAAATTTCATTGATTTTGGAGTGTGTATTAGTGTGATTCGGGGCAATTAAAGCCTGAGATGAATTTGTGGAACTGTGATTCATAGATTCACCAACTGACTATACCTACAGTTTGTGTCTTAAAAATGACCAGGCTTGTGCCCCTAGCATACCTGAAATGAGCTTGTGCTTGAATTAACTTACTAAAATTGAAGTAATAATATTCATGTGATATTAGGAGCATTTAGTTTCCATTTAACTTTAGGCTATGGGTCAAATAATCCCCTCTTGGTATCTATTCTTCTGAATCAAGAAATACTACGCCAGTTATTACTAATGCCAAATGGTTCTAAAACTCACAAAACTCAAAAGCAGAAACTTGCTTAGAAGTTACACTGTTGTTATACTGAGGGTGGAGTCAGATGACCAAAGTGACTGTCAACAATATCAAAATGGAAGGCAGGGCTGAGTGAGCAAAGCTCCACCTCTTTTGACATCACTGATTACCCCTGAATGGGAGACACCTTTGTGATAACTATATGGTACCTCAATATCTCTTGGAAATGTATTAGTTCCTTCCCTCACGTTTCTCCTGCAAATCCACGAAGATTTCAAACCCACTTATTGTTTCTCTTTGGTGAATAGTGGCCTGTGTTCAACAATGTTCTGTATTTTTATTTCATGTGGACAGCACCTTGAACAGTCTTACATTGAATTGATTTTTTTTAAAGGCAGAAATAAACTCTTAATCTAAGCTAATTATTTGGTTTAGAGAAAGGACAATCAAGGGGACAATATAATCAAAGCTTATAAAATTAGGTGTGGCATGCAGAAGGTTTTCTTTCTCCTTCAGAACATGGATTGGAAGGAGATTTGGAAAAGAGGCTAGAAAGCACACAGCTCACAACTGAACTGTGGAAATTATTATCCCAAGACATGCTGATGGCCATTACATCAGAAGCATTTTAAAGGGAAATGGATGAATTCATGGACAACAGAATGATGTCTCCAAATGTCAGTCATAGAGGAACAAAAGCTATGGAGGGTGCATCTCCTCCCAAGCATTGCAGAGGCAGCTGCCTTTCTGCATTTGGGGCCTTGGCTTGATTCAGTAAAGCCATTCTAATGTTCTCATTATGCTGAAGCAGACAGCGGAGTCTTGTAAATTTTCTTCAACACCAAAATAAACGATCTAGGAAACTGAAAGAGTCAGGAAAAGATCCAAAGAAATCGAAGGGATCGGTCAACTGAACATTCAAATGATCCATATCAGAGCCCAGTTTCATAATTTTGAGACTCACATCATTTGATGAATCAGATTATCTGTGAGACATTCATGGTCTAATGCAGGGGTGTCCAACCTTGGCAACTTTAAGACTTTGCTGGCTGAGGAATTCTGGGAGTTGAAGTCCACAAGTCTTAAAGTTGCCAAGGTTGGACACCCCTGGTCTAATGGAAGTATAGCCTGTCCCAATTGTGCCAATATAAAGATTACATATTTCCTAAACATAATTCCTAATATAATTAATCAAACATGGAAATAAAATAAAAGCAGCCAAAGTGAATCTAAATGGTTTAAAGTTGACACAAAGGTGTTTAAATTACATTTCCATATTTTGAATGACTTACAGTCTTGCATATAAAAGAACCACCAATATCTATTTTGGAAAGGTTTATAGGGAGATCTGACTCAGCATTTGTGCTGAGTGTTCCATTATGCGGCTTGTTCAAGTTTCACTATCAAAATTCCTTCTTCCTCCAGAATGCAGATAACCTGATCCCTAAAGTAACCTGCCCTTCAAAAAAACATTAAGGAATGTTAAAATTTTAAATACTGTAGCTCTGATTAGAGGATTTCTGTTCATTTTAGTAAAAAGGCATGTGCTAGGAACATCTTCCTAGTTTAGATGGCTGCAGTTCAAGACCTATAAACAAACACCTGTCCAAGTATATACATGTGTTGGTAAGACCATTAATTGGTCTAAAGTTCACTGTTCCTAAAAGGGGCTTTTGGGGTAAACAGCCTGAACTTACCTCCTTGCTCATCCAACATAACCAAGGTCCTGATACCAGCATCCTTGCTCTATATTCCAGTGAGAATAACAAGATGAAACAAAGAGACAGAGAGACAGAGAAAGAAAGAAATTAGTGAAAGAACTAATAGTCAAGCTCAAATCAAAGTTAAACAGTGAAGAAAGGCAATAAGAAGGAGTAAAGGCTACAGTCATAAGTATTGAAGAAACAATGCAATAGATACCACATCAGTACTACCGTACTAGGAGAGCCTTCCCTATCTTGATCTATGGGGATACTTACTGGTCTTCTGAGAATTGTAGTCCCTATAGTGGAACTATTGGAGGATAGTTGTGTAGTTTAAATAATGACGTGGCTGGTTAAAAACAAAATAAGTGTTGCTATTTGGAGGACATCAGATTAGAATGACTCACCTTGGGACTCATGGCAACACCAGATAATTTCAGAAGGAAGAAGAAGTCATTAGAAAATGATGGCTCGGTTTTGATTCTGCAAAAGTTAGGAACTTATTGTTCCAAAATTATTATTATTATTTGCTCTAATTTGTTTTTTTTTTAAATAATTGACAGTGGAGCTAGATCACAAATTTGCAGATGGCACCAATGTCCTATGAGTGCATATATAAATGTGTGTGTGTGTGTGTGTGTAAAATCTTTTTTAAACAATTACAGTCAAAAGATACAGTTAAAACCAATAAAGTTAAAACCGTGTTATTGTAATGTAGGTACTGATGAATCAGTACAAAATGCTTGCATCTACCTCTGTTCATCTTTTGACTGTATTGTTTAAATTATTAAAAGGGACTAACTGTTTTAAAAATCTTCTTTGTATATTATTTAGGTAATATGGGTAAATATTTAGCTAAAACATGAAAACTATCCATTATGGAATTAGGATAGGATTTTGGCTAGGATAAGTGTAGATAGATGAATCGGAATGAAAGGACAGGAAACACACACCTACGTAAGGGTGAAAATCTCATCTAAACTAATTTCTAGTTTTTTCTCCCATAAGATCATAATGAATAATCAAAACATTTGAAAAGCTTTTGCAAGGATAGATGATAGATGGGGGTGAGCAGGTAAATGAGTCTTAAAATTATGAGGAAAGGGATTTATCTACTTTCCTGAGCCTGGGGTGCAGGGGTGGTATTCTACTGGTTCGGCCCGGTTCAGCCGAACCAGTAGTCCTGTGGAATCATCTACGAGCCAACCAGTTCACTCCGACGATCAGCTGCTGGGCCTCCCCGCCCACCCCAGTTCTATTCTGACTTTTATTTCCTGGTTTTCAAGCTCAGCTGTTTCGTGTGGCACAGCGGATTGCTGCGCATCAGCTGTTTAACACACAGGGAGAGTGCAGGATTGCCGGAGAAGGTCAATAGCAAACCCTCTGTGTGTGCGCAAAGTGCACCCACCAAGCCACGCCCACAGAACCTATGGTAAAAAAAAGTTGAATCCCACCACTACTGGGGTGCTGAATGTTTTAAGGCAGGGGTCCCCAACCCACAAGCCATGGCTCACTACCAGGCCTTGAGCCGTTCTGAACCGAGCCACAGAAGTGGCTGGTGAGCACATGTGCCTGTGCTCATCCCCACTTATGCAAACAGCAAGTGAGCGTGTGCGCTCTATTTGTGCAAGGCCCCCCATTTGTGTGCAACAGTCCTCTCCCCCCTCTCCCAGCTGGTCTGCAAAGCCAGAAAGGCCAGGGAACTCTCTGATAAGGACCCCATTTCTTAGCTGTATTGTTAACTGGCCAAGTATCTCGGCTGCTGTGCATATTTATTTTGGATTTTGGTTTCTATTGATTTAAAAATGTCTTTGGTGCTTTTTATTGTAATGTATTTTTATTGTAAGCTGCCCAGAGTCATTAACTGAGATGGGCAACTATAGAAATTGGGTAAATAAATAAACACAAATAAACATGTTTGTATTTTTTTTTCCTTTGTCCTAAGCTTATTTTTCAGGAAATTTGTATAAAAGGGCATATTTCACTGTAGTTAGTAGTTTCTTAGAACAATTGCAGGAGAGTAGCTGCAGGGACTACAAAATTAAAATGAATAAAAAACAAGTGCCATTTGTCACATTTTCTATTTAAGCAGCAACTAAAAGAAAGTATTACATATCCCATGTTGCACTCTTCTGAATAACCAAAACTCTCAGAAACAAATAGAACACTTGATCAGTCCTGCAAAATATCAGTCCTTCAAGAGTTTCTTCAATATCCCACTGTGAAAACCGTTTATTGTAATTACAGACAAGTCACAAAAAATGAAATTCTTCTCCTCTTTATTGTGATTTTTTTAAAAAATGGGAACCCCATCTATGTCTCTGAATCTCCAGATTACCAACAAAATGTCAGAGAAATCTTTCTCTAATTCTGATGTTTCTTTTTCTTCCCTGAGTCAACCTATTTTAGTTAGGAGTCCATGTGTAATTGAATGTGTCATCACACTAATGTACATAGTGTACATGGCACATAGTGTAATGTACAGACGTTAAGGCTGAAGAAACATAAAATCAACGAAGTAAAATTTGACTGTAAAATCTGAATCTTAGTTCTTGAATGTTTCACAGAGAAAATACAAATTCCAAATTTTCTAGTTGGTGAAAATGTATAGAAAAGGTAAGTTTTTCTTTCAGAACACAAAATTCTCCCATTAGATTATGGGAGTGGGGACTCACCCAGAAAATAATTTTTTTAAAATTATTTATTTTTCATAAATTATCTATATTTTTAATAAGTTAATACCCCTGTGGTTTTGTTTCTCTAAATTTTAAGACCAGAACATTACATGGTCAAAAGAAGAGCTAAGCACATTTTTTTTCTCCTTCTTATCTCCATCGGTAATACAAGGATAATATGTATTTCCAGTGTGAATGAATGGGTTACAAAAGGGTAACATACATACATATACATACATACATACATACATACATACATACATACATATATACATACATACATATTCTGAGGTTCTCACGGGTATTTGTATGTGGATCTTTGGTTATTCGGGTTTTCTCCCGCGTAAAATTGGAAGTGTCTAGGCGA